ACATCAGTCCGACCACAGCTATGAGAGGAGTCTGGGCCTCTAGCTACAGGTAGAAGCCACCCAGAAGTCCGGCCCAAGTTCTCAGAGTTCTTCCCTTCTCCTTCAATCAGTCTTCCCTCATTCTTCCACCATATGTTGAAGGCATGGCCTGAACGCACAAAAGCAGGATTAAACAAAGGTTGATAAGAAATGTTTTTCTTTGTCTTTGCAGCTGCTGTGAAACATTGTGACAGCATGGCCACAGAAGACGATATTTCCTGTGCTGTGGCAGACCAACTTAAACATGCCCCTGCATGGTCTGCCGGTGGAGGCTACGCCTGCAACCCAACATAGTTAGGAATACAATATTTATATAATTTAACTGTTTTGTTTTATCAGTACTTTTTGTCAGTTGTCTTATTTTGAGAGCAATTATGAATATATTATGATAATAATATAATGAATGTAATACATAATCATGAATTCATAGTTGAAATTAGGTTGAATTCAAGTCGCTAAAATACTCACTGAAATAGTAGTCTTTTCAAATTTCACTTCGCAACCAAATTTAGGTGCAGAAGGACATCTTTTTCTAGATCTCTTTTAAATGACCTGAAAAATAAGTTTTTTCTCCTTTCACTTTTCAACCAAATCTCTGGCAAAGTTGTCTTTTTAACATCTTTTCAAAAACTTTTGCTGGATGGGTGGCATGTTTCACTTGGCCATTGGTATATTTAATTCAACCACTTGCATATTCCACATTATGTAGCCTTTTACTGAGCACTGCTGGCTTAGGTAGTTGGTGAACACTACTACTGTACTATAATAAATCCCATAAAAAATCCATAGTACATTACATATGGTTTGAATGTTGTGCTGAAAGTCTTGTCTAACCTTATTAGCCTAGTTCCGTCATAACTTGGAATTCCACCACTGTTTAAAAAAAATGTACGTAATTAAATTGTTAAGATTTCAACAAAGCCATTGAACGTGGTTTAATATGAAATGCTCTGTTTCAGAAAAGTTTACTGAGTCTAAATTGTTCACAGCAGTGGTGACAGGTGCCAGATGTCTGAAGTGTTTAATGTCTTACAGAAAGCTATTACATATGAAATAGTTATAAATATATTGTCCAAAGCCTAATATACTGTTTTATAAAAGTTTTAAGAAAAAAAGGCCTAAAACCTATTTTTAAAAATATATTCCTGGCAGAGGGGTATGTGCTTTTTTTCCACTTTACAAACTTTTCAAATTACCTCTTGTATCATTGTATCCTTATCAACATTACATATGCAAACTTTAATTTGCTTTAAAGGAAGCTTGTATTTATCAGATTTACACCACTGCAGTATTGTTAATTTCCACAAGACACCTTAAGAGATTTATAGTATTATATTCACTCTAAGTGGGATGCTATAGCAACATTTGGAGCTTGTATCACAGACATTTAAAGCCTATAACTGCTTGTTGCAGACATTCAAGTAAGATATGTTTTATCATTTATAAATTGCTGTGAGTCCATCAGTAATTATTTGAACTTAAATTTTGTCAGGTTCAGCTCATGTTGTAGTTGATAAAAGTGTGTTGCTGCTGTAAAATATACTGAAATTATTCTGTTATTTTGCTAAAGAATTAGAGTAATTGTGCACATCACATTTAAAAATTTAAGTGGGAGCTGTAGCTAGCTAGTCAGCTCTTTTCATTGATTCTGTAGTTGTTCTTGCAGTTGTTAAGAAGCTCCCAAATGTGATGCCACAGAGTGTGAGCTAAATGTTCTGGTTTATTCATACCTTTTCCCCAGGACTGTGATTTGTAATGCATTACAAATCACATTAAGTAAGAAGCTCCACTGCAGGTGTGGGGAACTGAGAGCCAAAGCCAAGCACAGTTTGATGTTTGCAGTTGCTCTAACACTCTAAATGCAGTAATTAACTAATGAGCTGAATCATCAAACTGTGTGCAATTCTAGCCTTCCAGGACCAGAGTTCTTCACCCTTGCTCTACTGTATATATGCAGACTATACTATATATAGTTGTATATTCGAATATTTTCAAGGCAAAATAAGAAAATCTTTGTGATTAAATCATTGAAGATATAGCTTAAAAATGTGTCCAATATTGATCTGTTCCCAGCTTTTTGTTAGATAATTAAAGGAAAGAACTCGCTGTCTGAAAGGCATTTAAATAATACATTGCAGACTTCATGTACAGCTCACCAAACTGCCATCTGGGAGACAGGAGCATGTTAGTCAGGCTAGCTTCCATGCTGGAGAACAGCTCCCACCCCATGCATGAGACTCTGCCAGCACTGGGCAGCTCCTTCAGTGACAGACTGCTTCACTTCAAGTGTGTGAAGGAACGCTATTGCAGGTCCTTCCTTCCTGCTGCTGTTAGACTGTACAACCAGCACTGCTCCCAGCAGTGCTGCTCTGTGAGTTACAGTGTAGGTCTTAGGAATGTGATGTCATTACGCAGTGCTTCATGGGAGATCCACCATTGTGGCAGGCTTAGTCTCAGCTGGTTTAGAATAGTTGAAAAACACTAATTTTTCAACCTGATGTCCTTGATTTTGGCTAATCTGTTACTTATAGTCTCACTAAATACTTTTGCGGAGATGCCTAATGTGTGGATCTACATAACAACTAGATCACAGATCACAGCAAAATCAAAGAAAACAGATTGGAAAGCAAGTTTAATCAGCTATTTAAGTGCACCTCTGGTTAAACAGCACATAAGAAGCATCACAGTGAGAATGCAGATTAACTAATTTTATGATGGGATCGTATAATGAAATACTTGCAACATATTCAGTGGATTTATCTCAATTGTTAGCAGCAAACTAACTCTTGACAAATGCCTCATGGGTGCCAAGATGAAACTGCTGTACCGTTTAAGGTGGAACACAAAATTGGAATAAGAATTGGCAAGAAGAAGCAAATCTCAGCACTTTAGTGAGGCATGCACTGATACTACCTTTACCGCTTAACAAATGCAATGTTTTATCTTCAAAACGTTTATCAGCTAAGATGTATGAGGTGAAAAAATTGTGACTGGACTAGTAACTTATGCTGAGGGGTCAAACTATTTACTTTTTTAGATGTTTATTTGTCTCTATCTCTTAAAGACCGCCTCTTCATTCTCTATTTGTGAGATATATAATGGACTTTGGAATTCCATTCTATTAGACAGGCTTGAGAAACTAGTAGGAGTGACAGGTAAAGCTCTTTCATGGTTCAAATCTTACCTTAGTGATTGCTTTGAGTTTGTTAATGTAAACGGTGAACCATCAGCTCTCACAAGAGTAAAGTTTGGTGTTCCACAGGGCTCTGTCTTAGGACCCATGTTATTTACCTTATATATGCTACCACTAGGTACCATCATTAGAAAACATGGCATCAGTTTCCACTGCTATGCCGATGATACACAATTGTATATTTCAGCTAAACTAGAGGACAAAATTGAACTTAATAAGATAGAGGACTGTGTAAAAGACATTAAAGAATGGATGTCAAGCAACTTCCTTTTACCAAATTCGGACAAAACCGAAGTCCTTCTTCTTGGTCCAAAAGCTGCTAGGGATAATCTGCCTACGTTTACTCTTAATCTCGATAGTTTCTCAATTGCACCAGGCACATCTGTAAAAAGCCTTGGTGTCACGATCGATCCCGATCTGGCCTTAAAATTGTACAGCACAGCAATCATGAGTTTGTTTACTAGCCAGACAAGGCAAGCAGGGTTTGCTAAACTACCTGCTGTGGAATATACCAAAACCAATTGAAATATGGCTAAATCAATGATTGTATGAATATTCTTCTCATTGTGGCTGAGTGAATAATGTTAAATCTGCAAGTATCTCAGTGAAAATGGAAAATTTGACCTGCTTAAAGGAATAGGCACTATTATAAGTCAGTGAATGGAAGAGGAGGTAACATTAGTTGTCCAAATCACTGCTCCACACACACACACACACACACACACACACACATACACAGACAATAAACCAGCAGTTTCTTTAGTCTCTTACAGTGTATGTGAGTATTTGCAACATGTAAACAAAGAATGAACCCTTCCAACATGATAGAACAATCGCATAATGTGGCAGGATGTGATATACTTTCCCAAGCCCAATATGTCTTTATATGTCCTGTTCAAGATCAAGGTAATATATGTGTTACCTATCCAAATTTACTTAGTTATAATCATTTGTCATGTTCCATAATTCATTTTTACAGCTGAGTACATGTTTATTCATGCTAAATTCGTCTGAGTTGCATCCAGCATGGAATATGATCCTAAACCTAAACATAGGTCAGCTTGTCACTCAACCAAAGACTGTTCGCAAATGTTACCTTATACTTTGCTGTCTGGCTGCTTCTACATTAGACTCATGAGTGACCTGTAGCGAGGGCTGCCTAACTTCTATTACCTAACATATTAATGTTAATGCACTGACAAAAGTGATACATTTAATTTACTTGTTTTAATTTTTTACAAACTTTCCTCATCAGCAAATAAAAGAAATCAACTCTGTCTTTGTTTTTAGTTTGTTTTCAGCAGTAATTATGTTAATTAAATGCATTTTACATATGAATAAGGTCTGTTTTGGATGTCTGTGAACATGTAGAGTAAGTTCCATGTCGAAAAAGAAAAAAAAAAAAAACTAGACTGGCATTCCAGTAGGTGGCAGTGATGCCCCATTTTTTTCTTCTACTATAGTTACTGTTTGGTAACAGCAATATCAGAAAAATATTTAAGATAATTGATTTACAATTAAATTAAATAATTGCTTAGATCAAATTATAAAGATAAATACAAATGTGAGATACATTTCAAATAGATTCATTCCAAAATGTATTCCAAACACAAACATATATTAAATCAATTTTTTGGCAATTTTGATACATTTCGTAACATAAAGAGCATTCTGCATTTATTTGTTTGTGTGGTTATATAGATCAGACAGCTAAAACTGGACTCTGTGACCTCTAACAATGGGGCGTGGCATGATTTTGGGAATGGTATGCTGGAGGTGGAGACATCTGATTTTTCTCTAAAAACTTCCTCCACTTTTAATCTCAGAACAACAAGCTTGAAATGGAGTCAAGTACAGGTAAGAACCAAATTACTGAAAACTCTTGTTTCTGCTTCAGATCTGCTGGAACACATTTATAATCACACTGATTAGTCTAATATCATAATCAGTTTGATGGTTATGGGATAAGAAAGAAAAGATTATATGCAGTAGTTAAATTTGTTTGCAGTGCCACCAGGTAAAATGGTGTTTGACTAAGGTGTGTGTTTTAATCCTTTCCTAGACAGATTATTATATGTATTTCAAAATAGAGACTAATTTAAAAACAATGCATTTGAGCTGACTCTCCTAACATTTTCTTAATGTAACTATCTATAGCTAGTGATATAGTGACCTTTATATTTCAGCTGTAGTTAACTTATACATAGTACATACAACTGCAGAGAAGAACAGGTTGTACAACAGAACTTATATGTAAAATTCAATAATGGAAGCTCAGTCACACTGAGCACATATTCATTTTTTTTGCATTCTTTAGTAGTAATAGCAGCTGAGACATATTACTAGTAAAAAAAAGAAAATGTTGTATGGAAAAATTAGTATTGTTGAAATGATTAGAAAATGAGAGTAGACTGAAACTAAATAAAAATATAATTACAGTAAACTGGGAAGGTTATGGAGCTTCAAGAAAAAAAAAGTCTAATGTGGCACACACGTAGTATAAGATGATTTTTGGATATTTTTCCAGAGCAGATAAAAGCAGATATAAAGAGAAGATGTCACAAATTAAGGGCACTAAAAGAAAAAAAAATAACAGTAAAAGTAGAATCTCTCTTCTGTGTGTGTGTGTGTGTGTGTGTGTAACTTTTTAAGACATTTCAAGTCTAAAATACAAAAATTGTACCAAATTATTCAGAACAAAATTGTATTATAAACTGATTGATGAATGATTGACATAGAAAAGGACAATTCATTACATTCTCTCTTCATACCAGTTCATGTTTGCTCATTGTGACTGTTTTATAATTATTACAATTAAGGTGCACGCTTGAAAGAATAAAAAGCAGACATGTCTGATATGACGTCAAACTTTTTTAACAAAATATCTGTTCTATACATCTTGTAGGGCTGGCTTGGACAATTTGAATGCTATAGCATTTGCTCACTACAGACAAAGACCAAGCTTTCAAATACTAAATAGAGAAATTAATTAGTATGCGTGTGGTCTTGAGGGACGAGAAAGAACTCTCATGTCCTGCTCTAAAGCCTGGCTAAAACAAGGCTCAGCATATGGACTAAAACTCTTTGGTCCAGATTTATAAAATGCACTGCCAGATTTACCTTGACATTAAGAACAAATGGTGTGGTGGCAACACGTATGCTCATTCAAGGATTGCCAATGTGTTTTACTCGGAGGAAAGCGCCAACCGCCAGATCTGTTACGTCAGCTAACAGACGCCTGCACTGACTAGCATCGCGCTGAGTGAGTGATGGGGGGAGAGAGGTAGCCATCCCACCCACCCACAGAGAGCGAGGTAAATTGTGCTCTCTCGGACTCCCGGCTACGGATGGCTGTAGCATCACCAGGGATCGAACTAACGATCTCCTGATGATAGGGCCAATGCAATTATAATGAATTGGAAAAAGGCCTGAATTTGTAGATCTTCTTAGATTTTACATGCTATAATATAATTCTACAATTAAAAGAATTTTAAGATGTTATACATTGATTCATTTTTTCTAGTATAAACAATATTTTCTGATAAAGGAACTTTATGTCTTGATTAAAAGTTAAAAGCATTTTACCAAACAATGTATTATTTTTTGTCAGCACTTCTTCCCTTAAAATTTGTAGCTCTGTTTCTGAGAATTTTGGTTTCTGTTGTTTGATCATATCCATATTGGCAGCCAACCAGAGCTTCTCTTGAAATAGTTCTTTATTATGTATGACCTTGTTTACAACCCCATTTCCAAAAAAGTTGGGATGCTAATAATAACATTTAAAGATTAAGAGAATCTGGACAATTCTCTGTATGCAAGGAACAAGGCCAAAAACCAGTATTTGCTGGCCATGATCATTGGGCCCTCAGGTGGCACTGCATTAAAAACAGACATGATTCTGTAGTGGAAATCACTGCATGGGCTCAGAAAAGCTTCTGAAAACCATTGTCTGTGAAAACAGTTTGTCACTGCAGAGCATGAGCTCATTTAAAATGGACTGAGCGGAAGTGGAAAAGTGTCCTGTGGTTCGACCAATAAACATTTGAAATTCTTTTTTCTTTTCCGGGCTAAAGACTACTTTGCTTGTTATCAGCGTACAGTTCAAAAGTCAGTACTCATGCTGGTATAGGGGTGCATTAGTGCACATGGCATGGGTGACCTGCACATCTGTAAAAGCACAATTAATGCTGAATGTATTACAACAGTATTGCTCCATATTAAAAGAGTCCAGGCTATAAACTTTTCTAAAGAGGCTCTAAAGATTCAGTATTAAGGTTCAGAATTCAAGCACACATTTGGCTTGCTTTCACCCGCATTTTAGCAGGTCTTTACACCTACTATTTTGTGTGCACCAATCAAACTTTTTCATCTGCCTGTACTCGGGTGCACACTAAATAAATGAACCATTGTCTGCAAAAAATCACTCTGTGGTTCTCTGTGGTTCAGTTTGCTGCTGGTGGGAAAGCTTTTTTACAATGGTGTGAATCAAAAGAGGGAATTTAGCATCAGGACACAGTTTTCAGCGCTGCACTGTATTTGGCCTATTTAATGTTGACTCTTTACAGAGGCTTGTATCATTCTTGTAACTCGAGCTGTGGCTAATAATGGCAGATGAGCAATAACAAAACATTTTGTCATATACGGAACTTATTTTGATTGGTTGGGCCAGACACTGGCAGTCTCACAAGTTCAGTTCAAACTGACGCATAATTAAAACAAGCAAATATGAAGAAGTAGAGATGGAGCGAGGTTATTTTTATTCAGTGAGTGTGAGAATACATTTTATCAAGAATATAAGTTGATGATAGATCTGGGTTTTATACCATGATGGGCTAGTGAAAGTAAAATAAGTCATTTAAAGAATGCAAATGAAACATTTATCAGTCAGTGCTGATTGATTTTTACATCAACCTGGCACCGTGCCTGATCTGTCTGCTCATCTAAAAGTGTTATGTATTATTATGTGATGTTATGTGATGTGTTCAGCTGTGTACAGAGCTAGACAATCTGGGATCGCCTTACTGAGCAGCTTACTATATTATAGGTTTCATGGTACTCATCAAGGTGTTATTGGCAGTACTTGTCCAGCAACTGAATGTTATGCCATTTGTTTTGGTTTGCAGTTAGGCAACAATAAGTAGCTGATCTGGGGTCTGTCTAAGTTGACGAGGCAAGCATTCTAAAACCCCAGCTGCATTTAGACTGCGAGGGGGGACAGTGCGTACCCCAGGACTCTCACCAGTCTCTGCCCAAACTCTTTGTAGGTCACCAAGACGGTTTTGACCTTTGAATGGGTGGCTGTGTAGCATGACACTATTGGCCTCCTGGGAAAGCGCCACAAGCGCAGTAAGAGAAACTTTAATTTTTGACTGTGACTAGTTAGTTGTGACTGTATAGACATTATGTGTGCAGCTGGTGTGCTGGGTGGTGGGTTTAGTTGGCAGTGATAGTGTCTACCATATACTGGAGATGTATGGCTATTTTAGCTAGCACTGGGCAGCGGTTTCTCCCTCTTTCAATAAAAGAGCCTTTCCTTAAAACGCAATGTTTTCTGCATCTTCTTTTTTGCCTGGACATCACAGTTGCCTGGACGGGTGCTGCAGTGTGATTGTGTTTATCTGAATGCAGTATTCTGGTTGATTGCCAGGATAGGGTGATATCACCATAGGGTTTGGAAGGAGTGTTGAAGGCATGTTGAAATAGACAGGGCGATGACTGAACAGGCTGATGTAATGACATTGCAGGATGTTAGCACATTTAGAAGTTGCATCTACCAAACTGGCCTACACACTTTTACACAGGCCTACCCAAAAAATTAATGCCACTGGTTGACACAGACCATGCAGGTGTAGCAAAACATGAGCAATAATAGTACATTAACCTATTTCACTCCTGTACGACAAACACACATTTGTTTGATCTCATATCTAGCTAAGAAAAGGGAGGATTTACCCAAGGATCAGGGATCAGATAACAATGATAATTCACACGCACACTCTTTGTTTACAAATAACTGGCTTGTTTATTATTATTTGGTATAAATGAATATAATAAATGGAGCTTATGGTCTACTCAGCAGGTTGGCACATATGAATATGATACAGAAAATTAAGCACAGAATACATGAGTTAATCTGAAACTACATTAGTCTCTGTGGGACTGGGTCCAAGCTACACCTCCTGGGTGGGAATGGGTACAGAACTAACGTATCACATTCCAGGCTATCAGATATCTTGCGTGCTGATTGTTGGCATCAAACTCAAGTCAGTTCTACTCCCTTCTTACCAGACAGTTCAATACAACTATGTTTTAAATCCCTGAATTAAGTCAGCCCTTCTTTGACTGAATGAATGTTTTAGATTAGAGCATTTGAGTAATTCAAGTTTATGCATATTCCATTACTTGGAACATTTTCTCCTAAGATAGAAAAGAGGCACTCTGATTAAGCATTAAATATGAGTTTCATTCAGAGTATTATTCTTACAAGCAAACAGATTTTTGAGGGAAATAATTATCTCTTTTTATAATGGACATAAAACAGCAAAGGATAATATAATAAACACATGCAGTTTCAAAACTGTACTAGACTACTGAACAGTTACAACTAAGATATTGTAGTGGGACAAGGCCACTTAAACCACCTATTTTCCAATTCACCATGAAACACAAACTTAGGTTAATCTCAGGTTATGGTTCTTCTGTGGACAGGGATCTATTTTGATCAAATGGTGATAATTACATACACAAAACCACAAGGGATAAAAGGATAAAGGATTAATAAAGGTATGTAGGGACTTAATGTTAGAATAACAAGTATGTAGAGAAACCAGAGATGTGAAATTCACTGGATAAACATATTGTAATTAGCTGAGACTCAAAAGTTTTATTTTGTGGTGTTTGAGCAGTACACAGAACAGAATATTCATGCTAGCATAATGACCAAGTTTAGATAAAAAGGGGGAAAAGAGTAACACAGCTGAGATGGAACCATATAGCCAAAAAAGTGAGAGTGGAACCATTGTGAAGGAGCACAAGTACCGTGGGAAAAAGGGCAAGGCAGCTGAAGAGGTGATCTTCTGGAGCATTGCATCTGACCAGACCTGGATAGGCAAGGCAGGTAAAGTAGAAGAGAAAATCACATCAAGACTCAAAGGAAAAGATGGATTCAATGGAACATATGGATTTAACTGGCCCAAAGAAAATAGCTACAAATTATCGAAGCTCAACTCCATAATAATCTTGATTAATGAAATTGGGTTACAATTCAAGAATCATGAAAAAAAATTAATTCAGTATTAATTAATTTACTTCTGCTGCATGGGAAACCATTTGTTGAGTTACACATTACACATTGATAGTTTAACTAGGACAGAGTTATTTTCCCAGTTTGATCTTGCAAAGGGTCCAAAGAATTTACAACACCCGTTTGCCCTAAAAAGGGGGTGTTGTGAGGGTTCATTATGTTGGACTGGTTGTCTGGTGGTGCTATCTTGGCCTTTCTCATCCCTGTTTTTGAGGCCAGGGGTTTTCCTCTGTAAGGAGAGGTGTGTGTAGTGCATGTGCAGATGAGGGGGGTTGGGCGAGTGTCCTCAGGCACTAAGATAATCATCAGGCATCCTCATGGTGTATCTCAAGTGACAAAGCTGTATCTTTGTCTGAAAACTTCTGATCAGTTTAGGAATTAAAAATAGCCAAGTTTGCTACAACATTGTTTTCTGCAACAGTGACAAATTACTAATAGATTCCTAACTAGGGAACATAATTCAAGGGTCCATAAAAGACTGAAATGCAGATATTCCAAGAACGCTAATTAAATGGAAAGAGGACATAAAATGGAAACAGTATGTAACAATAAAAATTAAATAAATGAATAACCAAACAAATAAATAAATACATTTAACAGAGATAAACTTTAAGAACAGAAAGAAGGAGACAGATGTGCCTTAAGGGTGTGTGGAACTTTGGCTGGACATTATTAATTTCAGACATTAGTTTGGGTGGTCAAAAACATAAGACAACTAACAAGGCAGAAAAATGATAGCCATATCACAGCGGCAAGAGGTCCATAATGTTGGAAAATAGATTTCCTTAAAGTTCATGAGAATCAAGTCACTGAAAAGCTGGCTCAGTGTCTGAAAATAGGCTGTCTGTGTTGTGATAGATAAGGCAGAAAAAGAAAGTTTGGGAGACATGCAGTTGTGTCCTTCATAAAGCAGAGTCACAAAGGATTTATTTAGTGTTCTGTCAAGAAGTAACCAAAGTTAACCTTTTTGCTAAAAAAAAGTCCATTACCTCTAGGTTCCAGAGTTGTTATCACCCTTTGGACTTTACTAAGCCAGGGATGGCTTTTGAGAAAAACCAGGTAGCTACAGCCACTAAACAAGACACTAACTCTGAATGAACTCCAGTGACAATACTGCACCCTCTGGGTATCGAATGTAAATAGCTCAGTGCTGTCAATGGGAATGGACATGCTCTTGACAGTTTGGTCTGCTGCCTTATGATGAAGTTTGTTACCTGAAACACAATTTGTACTAAGTTTCAATGTTATCTGGTTTTACGCATACATTCACTGTCCACAAACGCTATAGGCATACTATTGGCGTACAGTTACATTCACCCAAACCCCATCCATCAATGCAAAAGGACCACTATCAAAGCTTCCCCCCTACCCTTTTTACCCTATACTTGGAATTGCTTCTACAGACAGTATGGTACAATCTGTGAACCCCCCAGCAGAGATAATTACAATTACAAATACAATCAAATACAATCTCAGGAATAAAATTGGCCCTAATGTCAACCAAAAACCGTGAGCCAACAGTAGTCCTGTGGTCAGAAACTGAGCTAAAGGATGACTAACATAAATTCTGCAAGGAAAAGGATGAGCCATAGTCTCCAACGGAACAAGGTGTTCCAACAAGGTGGTTGTCTAATAAAGTAGCCGGTAATTGTAAAGTCTTTACAACTTCTGTAAAGTTTTTTTTTATTATTATTTTATGATTTTTTCATAATAAAGTCATGATTTAAAAAAAAACAAAAAACATTTAGCCAGATCCAGTCAGACTAAACAAGAAATATCATCTCAGCTTAACAAACACACCATTGAATCTATGAATTTTTTCTCATAGTTCCACTCATTGAAAGAAGAAGATGAGGTAATCCTTTATTAGTCCTACAACGGGGAAATTCACAAAAAAAGAGTGATTGTGCAAATCTGTGGACATACCACTGAAGCCATATGTTTGTGTACTAAGGCCTGCTAAGGCCTGATCCCGTGAGCTAAAGTGCAAGCCACAAGCTCAGGCCTGATCCCTGAGCTAACACGCTAACCACAAGCTTAGGTCCTATCCCTGAGCTAATGTGCAAAATGCAAGCTAAGGCCCTATCCCCAAACTAAAGTGCTAACCATGAGCTAAGGTGCTGTCTCTCAGCTAAAGTGTTAACCACAAGCCAAGGTCCTATACCCCATCTAACATACTGACTGCGAGCTAAGGCTCTATTCCTGAGACTTGTAACACTTTCAGAGCTGTCATACATCTCTTAGTTGCCTTACTCACTTGTCTCTTCCTTGCATAATCACTTAGTGCTGTAAAAGGCCTGTTCTTCCTGTTCTATCTGTCTACCATATTCAGTACATTTGAAATGTTCTTGTATTCAACCCCTAACATGTTCTTTTCTATCACCATATCATGGAGTTGCTAGAGTTGCTTGGAGTTCTTGTCTGTTCATAGTGTAGTTCAGAGGTCACCACCCTCCTCCTGGAGATCTACTGTCCTGCAGAGTTCAGTTCCAACCTGCAGCTAACATGCTGCCTTATTTAACATGAATGCTTCTGATGAAGCCAATCAAGAACTTCTGAAGAAGTTAATGAGCTGGAGCAGATGTAGCAGATTGTGGTTGGAACTAGACTCTGCAGGAAGGTAGATGTCCAGGATCAGGGCTGTGACCACTGGTGTAGTTTATGTCATGATACTCAACAGAAGTTGGACCTTCCAGATACAGGTGTATTTATACTACAGTAACTTGCAACCCTTTGACAGCACATAGGTGCTCTCTGTTTAACTAATTATGTGAATTTTAACACCAACTGAATGTACCTAACAAAGACACAAAGCACCACTCTTGCGAAACACCAAAAGAGCACTTATAGCATGCCTGTGGGGAGAATTTTAGGCCTGTTAAATGTGAGTGTGTGAGTGAGTGAGATATGAGTTACAAGCCCAGTCTATGAGGTACTTCATGTAGTGTTCTCTTTTGCTACAAAACTGTTCTGCAGGTGCAAGTTAGAATGTTTAACGGCATTTTTACCATTGTTCAATCGAGGGTGCAGTGCTTGTTTTGATCCCTGTAGAACTGGATCTACTGAAGCTTCAGATTAAACTTAACTTGTTATAAAGGATTGCCATCTGCCAAGTTAAAAGCACTAAATTAAACAAATAAAAAAATGATTGAAATGATAAGAACAGTGCCTATAGTCTTACTAGTTCATGGCATGAGGTGTTTTTTCTCAATATATAGTCATGTTTCCCCATGGAACTTGAAGAACATACATGCAAATCTTAGAAGGAAAAGGCTTGCTGGTTAGAGTAAAAGAAGACATTACAGTAGAATAAAAGTAGCCAATAAGTAATGGTATTTTTAAAGAAATGTATAATTTAAACAAATCCTTATGATTAAAAATCTGCGAATGAACTCGAGTGTTGGAGTGATCACTTTTAACTGATATTTTTTCCCTATTTCTCCTAGTGGAAAAAGAAAGACATGAACCTACAAAAGAGCCTCAAGAGAATTCTGAAGCAGACGAGGAAAACAATAAACCAGAGACAGAGCCGAAAAAGAATGATGGAGTAGAAGTGGGAAACAGTAAACAAACAACAAAGCTGAAAGACAATGATGGAGCAATGGAAGAAAACCTGAAACCAAGAACAGAGCTGAATGAGCAAGATGGAGCAGAAGGAGATAGTGAACCTGCAAGAGAGCCGAAAGAAAATGAAGGAGCAGAAGAGGGAAATGGTGAACCAGCAACAGACCTGAAAGAGAACAATGGAGCAAAAGAGGGAGACAGTGAACCAGCAACAGAGCTCAAAGAAAACAGTGGAGCAAAAGAGGGAGACAATGAACCAATAACAGAGCTGAAAGCAAATGATGTAGCAGAAGAGGGAGAAAGAAAACAAGCAACAGAGCTGAAAGAAAATGATGGAGAAAAAGAAGGAGACAGCAAACCTACAGGCCTTAAAGAGAACAACGGCGTGAAGGAAGGCAACAGTGAACCAGCAACACAGCTGAAAGAGAATGATGGAGTAAATGTAAACAGTGAACCAGCAATACAGCTGAAAGAGAATGATGGAGTAAATGTAAACAGTGAACCAGCAATACAGCTGAAAGAGAATGATGGAGTAAATGTAAACAGTGAACCAGCAACACAACTGAAAGAGAACAATGGAGAAAATGTAAACAGTGAACCAGCAACAGAGATGAAAGAGAACAATGGAGGAAAGGAAGGAGACATTGAACTATTAACAAAGCTGAAAGAGAATGATGTAGTAGAAGAGGGAGAAAGTGAACAAGCAACAGAGCTAAAAGAGAATGACAGAGTGAAAGAAGACAACAGTGAATCAGCAACAGAGCCAAAAGAGAATGATGGAGCAGAAGTGCAAGATAGTAAACAAGCAAAAGAGCTGAAAGAAAATTATGGAGTGACAAAAGGAAACAGTGAACAAGCAACAGAGCTGAAAGAACATAATGGAGCAGAAGAGGGTGAGAGTGAATCAGCAACAGAGCCAAACAAGAAGGACAGAGAAAAAGAGGGAGACAGTGAACTAACAACAGAGCTGAAAGAAATTAATGGAGCAGAAGAATTAGATAGTGAACCTGTAACAGAGCTCAAAAAGGATGATAAAGCAGAAGAAGAAGAAGAAGAAGAAAATGAAAAGGCAGCACAGCTTACAGAGAATGACAGAGCAAAGGAAGGAGAGAGTGAACCATCAACAGAGGTAAAAGAGAATGATGGAACAGAAACGGGAGACAGTAAACAAACAACAGAGCTGAAAGAAGATGATGGAGTGACAAAACAAAACAGTGAACCAGCAACAGATCTGAAAGAGAACAAAGAAGAAGTTAGAGATAGTGAACCAGCAACAGAGCCAAAACAGAAGAAGAGAGCAAAAGAGGGAGTCAGTGAACTAACAAAAGAGCTGAAAGAAATTAATGGAGCCGAAGAATTAGATAGTGATCCAGCAACAGAGAATGATAGAGCAGAAGAAGGAGAAAATGAAAAGGCAGCACAGCTGAAAGAGAATGACAGAGCAAAGGAGGGAGACAGTGAACCAGCAACAGAGCCGAAAGAGAATGATGACGCAGAAGAGGGAGACAATAAAAAAGCAACAGAGCTGAAAGAGAATGACAGAGCAAAGGAAGGAGAGCTGAAAGAGAAAGATGGAGTGAAGGAAGACAACAGTGAACCGGTAACAGAGCTGAAAGAGAATGATGGAGCAAAGGAAGGAGACAGTGAACCAGCAAGAGAGCTGAAAGAAACCGGTGGAGCAGAAGAGGGAGACAGTGAATCAGCAACAGAGCCAAAAGAGAACAATGGAGTGAAGGAAGGAGACATTGAAGAAACCTCAAAAGAGAATGATGGAGAAGATGTGGGAAACAGTAAACAAGGAAACAGTGAACCAGTAACAGAGCTGAAAGAACACAATGGAGCAGAAGAGGGTGAGAGTGAATCAACAACAGAGCCAAACAAGAAGGACAGAGCAAAAGAGGGAGACAGTGAACTAACAACAGACCTGAAAGAAATTAATGGAGCAGAAGAATTAGATAGTGAACCTGTAACAGAGCTCAAAAAGGATGATAAAGCAGAAGAAGAAGAAGAAGAAAGTGAAAAGGCAGCACAGCTTAAAAAGAATGACAGAGCAAAGGAAGGAGAGAGTGAACCATCAACAGAGGTAAAAGAGAATGATGGAACAGAAACGGGAGACAGTAAACAAACAACAGAGCTGAAAGAAGATGATGGAGTGACAAAACAAAACAGTGAACCAGCAACAGAGCCAAAAGAAAATGATGGAACAGAAATGGGAGGCAGTAAACAAGCTACAGAGCTGAAAGAAAACAATAGAGCGACTGAAGAAAACAGTGAACCAGCCACAGAGCTAAAAGAGAATGATGGAGGGAAGGAAAAACACAGTGATCCAACAATAGAGCTGAAAGAGAACAATGGAGCAAAGGAAAGACAAAATGTGCCAGAAATAGAGCTGAAAGAGAATGAGGGAAACAGTAAACAAGCAGCAGAGATGAAAGAAAATGATGAAGTGACAAAACAAAACAGTGAACCAGCAACAGACCTGAAAGAAAACAATGAAGTGAAGGAAGAGCCGAAAGGGAATGATGGGACCGAAGAGGGAGAAAATAAAAAAACAACAGAACAGAAAGAGAATGATGGAGTGAAGGAAAGACACAGTCAGCAAGCAATAGAGCTGAAAGAGAATGAGAGAGCAAAAGTGGGAGACAGTAAACAAGTAGCAGAGCTTGAAGAAAACAATGAAGCAGAAGCAGATAGTAAAATAGCAGCAGAGCTGAAAGAGAATGATGGAGCAGAAGTAGAAGACAGTAACCAAGCAACTGAACTGAAAGAAATCAATGGAGCGACAGAAGGAAACAGCGAACCAGCAACAGAGACAAAAGAGAATGATGAAGCAGAAGAGGGAGACAATAAAAAAGCAATAGAGTTGAAAGAGAATGATGAAGTGAAGAAAGACAAGAGTGAACCAGCAACAAAGCTCAAAGACAATGATGAAGCAGAAGAGGGAGACAGTAAAAAAGCAACAGAGCTGAAAGAGAACGACAGAGCAAAGGAGGGAGACAGTGAATCAGCAACAGAACTGAAAGAAAATGATGGAGAGAAGGAAAGACACAGTGATCCAGCAAAGGAAGAGGGAGATAGTGAGCCATCAGCAGAGCTGAGAGAGAATGTTGGAATAGAAGAGGATGACAGTAAAAAAGCAACAGAGCTGAAAGAGAAAGATGAAGTGAAGAAAGACAAGAGTGAACCAGCAACAAAGCTCAAAGACAATGATGAAGCAGAAGAGGGAGACAGTAAAAAAGCAACAGAGCTGAAAGAGAACGACAGAGCAAAGGAGGGAGACAGTGAATCAGCAACAGAACTGAAAGAAAATGATGGAGAGAAGGAAAGACACAGTGATCCAGCAACAGAGCTGAAAGAGAACGATGGAGTGAAGGAAAGACACAGTGATCCAGCAATAGAGCTGAAAGAGAACGATGGAGTGAAGGAAAGACACAGTGATCCAGCAATAGAGCTGAAAGAGAATGATGGAGTGAAGGAAAAACACAGTGATCCAACAATAGAGCTGAAAGAGAATGATGGAGTGAAGGAAAGACACAGTGATCCAACAATAGAGCTGAAAGAGAATGATGGAGTGAAGGAAAGACACAGTGATCCAGCAATAGAGCTGAAAAAGAACGATGGAGTGAAGGAAAGACACAGTGATCTAACAATACAGCTGAAAGAGAACGATGGAGTGAAGGAAAGACACAGTGATCCAACAATAGAGCTGAAAGAGAACGATAGAGTGAAGGAAAGACACAGTGATCCAGCAATAGAGCTGAAAGAGAACGATGGAGTGAAGGAAAGACACAGTGATCCAGCAATAGAGCTGAAAGAGAATGATGGAGTGAAGGAAAGACACAGTGATCCAGCAATAGAGCTGAAAGAGAATGAGGGAAATAGTAAACAAGTAGCAGAGATGAAAGAAAAAAATGATGAAGTGACAAAACAAAACAGTGAACCAGCAACAGACCTGAAAGAAAACAACGAAGTGAAGGAAGAATACGTTGAACCAGTAACAGAGCTGAAAGGGAATGATGGAGCCGAAGAGGGAGAAAATAAAAAAACAACAGAACAGAAAGAGAATGATGGAGTGAAGGAAAGACACAGTGATCCAGCAATAGAGCTGAAAGAGAAAGAGAACAATGGAGTGAAGGGAAGACACAGTGATCCAACAATAGAGCTGAAAGAGAACGATGGAGTGAAGGAAAGACACAGTGATCCAGCAATAGAGCTGAAAGAGAACGATGGAGTGAAGGAAAGACACAGTGATCCAACAATACAGCTGAAAGAGAATGATGGAGTGAAGGAAAGACACAGTGATCCAGCAATAGAGCTGAAAGAGAACGATGGAGTGAAGGAAAGACACAGTGATCCAACAATACAGCTGAAAGAGAACGATGCAGTGAAGGAAAGACACAGTGATCCAACAATAGAGCTGAAAGAGAACGATGGAGTGAAGGAAAGACACAGTGATCCAACAATAGAGCTGAAAGAGAATGATGGAGTGAAGGAAAGACACAGTGATCCAACAATAGAGCTGAAAGAGAATGATGGAGTGAAGGAAAAACACAGTGATCCAGCAATAGAGCTGAAAGAGAATGAGGGAAATAGTAAACAAGCAGCAGAGATGAAAGAAAAAAATGATGAAGTGACAAAACAAAACAGTGAACCAGCAACAGACCTGAAAGAAAACAACGAAGTGAAGGAAGAATACATTGAACCAGTAACAGAGCCGAAAGGGAATGATGGAGCCGAAGAGGGAGAAAATAAAAAAACAACAGAACAGAAAGAGAATGATGGAGTGAGGGAAAGACACAGTGATCCAGCAATAGAGCTGAAAGAGAATGAAAGAGCAAAAGTGGGAGACAGTAAACAAGTAGCAGAGCTTAAAGAAAACAATGAAATAGAAGCAGATAGTAAAACAGCAGCAGAGCTGAAAGAGAATGATGGAGCAGAAGTAGGAGACAGTAACCAAGCAACTGAACTGAAAGAAATCAATGGAGCGACAGAAGGAAACAGTGAACCAGCAACAGAGACAAAAGAGAATGATGAAGCAGAAGAGGGAGATAATAAAAAAGCAACAGAGCTGAAAGAGAAAGATAGAGTGAAGGAAGACAACAGTGAACCAGCAACAGAGCTGAAAGAGAATGATGGAACAAAGGAAGGAGACAGTGAACCAGCAAGAGAGCTGAAAGAAACTGGTGGAGCAGAAGAGGGAGACAGTGGATCAGCAACAGAGCCAAAAGAAAACATTGGAGTGAAGGAAGGAGACATTGAAGAAACGTCACAGCCAAAAGAGAATGATGGAGAAGATGTGGGAGACGGTAAACAAGCTACAGAGCTGAATGGAAACAATGTAGTGACAGAAGGAAACAGTGAACCAGCAACAGAGCTGAGAGAGAACACTGGAGCAGAAGAAGATAATGACCTAGCAACAGCGCTGAAAGAAAATGATGGAGCGAAGGAAGTAAAAGGTGAATCAGCAAAAAAATTACACCCAGTGTGCGTGAGTGATCAAAACTATAGGCTTCCTTTGTTATAGCTGAGCTTTGGAATAAAAACTCCTAAAAAGAGAGGTCTCTAAATCCTCACATTGTACATAGTTCAGCTTTAAGTGGTAGGTACCAACATGAAGGAACATGAGTTTGTTTACATTCCCTGCCCCCCCCAAAAATACATTAAAACTGTAGGGATGTGAAAATACAATTTAGGCCCTTTAAAAACAAAGACAGTAAAAAATAAAAAAATAAGACTATAATAATTATAATAAAATAGTCAAAGTTACTATTTCAAGCACAATTTCAAGCACTATTTCAAACAATATTTACAGCTTTTCAATTGTGTTTCTTTCTGGAACTTGATTAAATGCAGTGTCTTGTTCACACTATCAGTTGGGCTTGTTTGGTGTGTCAGGTGGAAATTCTGACAATCCTGCTTTGAAAGTAGCTTTCAAAAAGTAGATAAAATTAGTCACTACTTTTTCTGGAAAAGTAGCTAAATTGTAGCTAGCTACAAATTTTGGGAAAGTAGCTACAAAGTAGCTAACTACTAATTTTTCAGTAGCTATCCCAACCCTGGTAATATTGCTGCAACTCCTAGTTATATCTGTACTCATTGTGCTTTTAGACTACTTCATACCACTTAGTGCTTGCTATCATTTAAATATAACAAATCTGTTTTATATGCTATGTAAATATGCAAATACCATACTTTTATTTCTACTTATACTTTAACTTATTTTCTGCATAGTATATGTAAGTTTATGTGCAATTATATGTCTTGCTACTGAAACACTGCAATTCAATTTCCCTTTGGGATCAGTAAAGTTCTATCTATCTATCTATCTATCTATCTATCTATCTATCTATCTATCTATCTACCTACCTACCTACCTACCCACCTACCCACCTACCCACCCACTAGGGAGGGGGGTGTTGTAGGCACATGCAAGTGCTACTTTGCATGCCACACCCCTAGAGCTCCCCCAGACACCACACTGTTTTAAACAGTGCTATCATAGTTAATTTGCTTAATGCAACTGACCTGATGAATTCAGCAATCTAGCTACTTGTAAACAGCTAATAAAATGGCACAATAGCAAGATTTAGAGTTGAAATTGTCCCAGGTTCTTTCCTTAATTTTAAGAACTTTTCTGTATTCTAAAAAAAAGCTGACTGCTTCAGTTATAGCATCCATAGATACTTGACAGCAAAGTTATGTTGTTTTATTATTTTTAATTATTTCACTAATAGTTAATTTAAGTTATTTTTAGTTAAGTTATTGAGTGGATATTCCCCCCTTCTAAAATTATGGACATGAGAGAGAGCATAAGCTTTACCATTCTTAGTACAATATCTGTAAGAGATGAGAATTAAATCTGGCAGATGGCCCTAAGGATATATTCTAAGTTGCGATGAGATGAGTAGAATGCACAGGGATGGAGTGACCCCTCCAACCAGTGAGGCCACTCCTCCAGGGCTAGTTTAATGACCAAGAGTTCCTTACTAACTACATCATATTTACGTTCAGCTGGACTGAGTTTCTTGGATTAGAAGGCAATAGACTATTATTGGGAGCGCTCCTTGACTCCCATCTCATCTACACAAAACAGTGATGGATCTTGGTGACGGAGAATGGAAGCTAAAGTGAAATGTTGTTTGAAGGAGGTGAAAGCCTCCTCTACAGCAAGCGAAGAGCTTGGATGGCATTGAGCCCTCTTATGGAGGGAAGTGACAGGTGATGTAATAGGGCTGAAGTTCCTGAATAGTTGGTAAACCCTAGGAACTTTGTAGTTCACAGACAGTCTTGGGATGGGGCAAGTCGATCAGTGCTTGCACTTTCTTTGTCTCCCTGAGTACCTTTTCGAGTGTTATTACAGAACCTAAGAAGGAGAGAGAAAAGAGATGAAATCAACACTTCTCCTTTTGACAAACAGCTGGTGTCCCAAGAGCCTTGTTAACATACAACTCACATGATCAACATTCTCCTCCAGCTTGTGCGAATACACTAAGATGTCGTCTATGTATACAACAACATACCTGTAGAGCATGCCACAGAGTACTTCATCAACAAAGTATTTGAACAGCACTGGGGTATTGCATGGCCATAATGGCCAGTCATAGTGGAGAAGGCCTTTTTCCACACATGTCCATCTTGGATACACATAAGGTTGTATGTACTCTTCAAGTCCTCTCCAGACATCTTACCAGTAGCAGAGCTCAAACATCATTTTAAATAGAATAGTGAACTGCTCATATATTTTTTTCGCTGTAGCATGTTCCCAGGCCTTGCTTGTGAGTAGTGATCTGCAAACCTTGATGGATTATGGGCCATAAACAGGAATACTACAACAGGAAGTCTCCGGGTTTCACTGTATTTGTGTCTATTTTGGAATTACAGTGACAGAAGAAATTGGTTGTTGCTCAGTGCAGCCAGTGGTTTGTGCAATGTTAGGCAGATAGGTTACAGCCTATGTTGGAGTCTTTCATATATAATATTGACAGGGATGTACACTCTGCGGTTGGATATTCATTGTTTTCCCATTAGCCGTGAGACTGTCTTGCATCCTTTTAACTCTTTCAGTTTTCGCAAATGAGTAAAAGCCAAGGCCGAGATGTACTCTTGTCCGGTCTCTTGCTCAGTCACTCTCTCTTTTTTTTAAAAAAAAAGGTTAACTATTTCAGCCTAAAAAAATGCTTTTGTCAAACATATCAAATAATTACTTTGATTAGGTAAAAAAAAAAAAATAGTCCAAATGAACAAATGCAATCATTTCAATCTGTTCAACCATTTTAATTCTTTCCCAAATAAGCCTTAATGAAAATTATAAGCACAGTGAGTATAATAATATGGACAGTTTTTATTTGAATCATTATATAATAATAATTAATTATATTTTTAGGACATGTATTAGGCTATATATTATAAACTAAAATTGATGATGAATTTACAATGAAATTGATGATGAATTTACAATGAACCTAAAACAGATTTTATTTTTGCCTCTTTCCCCTTTTTATTTCTATATTCTGAAAAAAATCTTAATCTGGTCTTCGTCTTGGCCTTGACTCATACTCACCTCTAGTGGTCTTGACATCACAAATACATTACATGTCGATGTATCTACAATCCAAAAAAATGTGAAACTTGAAATCTCTGCCATTCACATGTAATTTGTTAAAATTAAACCACCTACTCATCTAGCTTTTATATGTCAAAACTAAACCTTCAAACTTCCCCAGACTTTCACACATGCAGACTTAAAGTGCATGTTATAGAAAAAGTCTAGTGGGCTGTAGGGCTTTCTAAGTATACCACTGATCTAGGTTTTAAGGGGGATAATGCTGTCTTACTGTGAACTTCCAAATAGTCTGCTTGGACTACAGACTTCAGCAGGCCTTACTTGTGGAATTACCCTTCATAGCAAAACAGATATAATGTAAACAAAATGTGAATCATTCCAAAAAATCCTAAATGAAAATCAAAACTTTTTTGAAACAAACAAATAAAAATGTCTTCCAATTTTATGAATACACCATTCAGGTGCAAATGTGCAATTTTGTTATCAATATCAACCATGGATGAGAGCCGAGCTGAAATCCTATCATTAGCACTTTTTATACTCTTGCAGTCCTGTGACCTTACAGATTCTAAAAGATTTCTTTGTTAGTGATGGATTCAAAAGACTTTTTCAATGATATTAACACATGCTCTGTGATGCTAATTGAAATATGTTTTATTCTTGTTGCCACCTTGAATAGACTTCTGAAAAGAATACCGTTTAATTCTTACTCCAAATGTCAATACCTTTATTCCTGAATTGTTTTTTTTTTCTATGACGTTAGATTTCCTTTGAACTAGTTACTTCACTGTTCATTCTGCATTTCTCATTTTCAACATTTTTTCAACATTTCCCTTTTACAATATCCCCAGCTAATCACTCTTAAAAAAAGCTAGAACAGTTTTTTTGGGTGATGTCATGGAAGAACAATTTTAACTTCTCTGAAGAACCTTTCAATAGATGATTCTTTCGAGAACCATTTTTGTATGTGAGATGTGTGAGTATGAGGAACCTTTTTAAAATCTAAAGAACCTCCAAATAATGTAAAGGTTCTAGGAAGAACTCTAAAACTGCCAATAAGCCAATCTCCTAAAAGTAAGTATAAACTCTATCATGAAATAATTATATGATCATGAATTGATTATTTAAAAGTTTCACAAAAGTACAAAAACGTAAAAAAAACTACAAAACTGAAAGAGGAATCACATTTTTAAAGAGTCGGACCAATTTTGTGAGTAAAACTTCACTCTAGGCCTTCTGGAATTCCCTGAAACATCAAAAAAACTGAGAATGTGGTAGTCAAGGCTAGGGCTCTTTACTGAAGGACTGTAAAACTGCAACATACAAAAAAATACATGTTAATTTGTTTTATAAGCAAGCTACTCCTATCCAATATAAATGTGTCATATGCATGTGTACTACCATTAGCTTAGCACTAAAATACTTTTAGAGTTTGCTAACAGAGATTAGCACTGTTGTATCAGTAGTAGCTTTGGACATTTATGTTGCTCAGTACCAAATCATCCCTAAATGAGTTTGGTTTAATTCAGAATAACATATTTGTAAGAATAACAGCAAGATAGCAATATAATACTAATAATAAGCACCTCCTCATTTGGTAGAGTAGTACATTTACAGTTTGAGAGCAAGAAGAAAGGTGGAGGGAAGATACATATCCTTTATCAACACTCTTCACCTGTTTGATCCTGAGCTCTCTTTAAAGGAACTGAATCACAGAGTGAAAGAGCGCATGTCTCTGTGTGCTCCTGGACCTCATGCTATAGTCCTGGTTCTACAGTCACTTCCTCAGGTCTGATAAAGCCGAAAAACACACCCTGGTTCTAACCACACAAAAGTGCAGTAAGGTACCAGTGTAGATCTAGACAAAGAGAATGTGTCTCAGAAGATCATTACTGAATGCAGCAAAAGGAATTTTGAGTTTAGCAGCAAATGCGGTCACTCAGCTCTTGTGGAGATGATGAAAAAGATGGTTAAGGAAAATGGGGGGAGTCACCTTTAATGGGAGGAATATGAGAAGGTTTCAGTTGCAATGAAACAGCAAGAGTCTGACCAAACAGTACAGAAAATTATGAAAAATAATGTGGACAAAGAAAACAAAAATACTGGACAATTACCTTATTTTTGTAAACATCAATTTAAACAATTATTATTTCATACTGAATTTTTTTTTTTTTGGCTTAAAAACAACACCGTGTATCTGTATCAAACAAAGACAAGGTGTCAGGACTATGATAAACAAATACTTTTAATAAAAAGAGTCCAAGACAGTGATTTTGGTCACTCACACTAATATTACTTTAAGAATGGGCATTTGAGTGCTCCTGAAAATTTTTTCACAATTAGTAAATATTCAGATTGCAAGTGTTACTCAGCGTTCATCTATGAACTTCTCTTCGACTTCTGCAATATTAGCACTAAATCTCTTGCAACAAATCTGTTAAAAAATATTTATTTTTGCTAATTGTTACCCTCGGTTCCATGGCTGGGGTCTTTTCTGTTTGGAGTTTGCATGTTCTCCCCGTGTCTGTGTGGGTTTCCTCCAGGGTTTCCTCCCACAGTCCACAGACATGCAGACAGGGCCAGTTGGACACGCTAAATTGCCCCTAGGTGCGAGTGTGTATGAACATATATGTCTGTGTGTCTGCCCTGTGATGGACTGGTGACCTGTTCAGGACCACATCCCATACCTCCCCACCCCAACCCAGAAGGATAAACGCTTTAGAAAATGTGTGTGTGTGTGTGTTATTGTTACCCATTTTAATGTGTCTGTATGCATGTCAGTACAGGTTTATGTACCTCTAAACACAGTTTGTTTATCCTTCAGTATTTCAGAGGCTTAACTTGGTTCTGTGTGGGAGTGATGGAGCAGTGAAGTCCTCCATATCAGATCTCATACTGGGTCAGAGAGAGCTCAGTCCAGAGTCCAGCTCAGTGTGCGTGAGGAGGGAGGGAGAAGTGTGTGGACGTCTGGTCACTCTGGTGGAGATGCCAGCTCTCTACAACACTCAGCTCTCAGAGGAGGAAGTGATGCAGGAGACTCTCCGCTGTGTTTCTCTCTGTGATCCTGGAGTTCATGCTTTTCTCTTCATCGTTCCTGAGGGTCCCCTCTCTGATGAAGACAAAAAAGAAATAGAGAAGATCCATAGAATCTTTGGCTCCGGAGTCTTTAGCATGGTAGTCCTCACTAAAGGGTCTCAGCAGAAGGCAGTAAAGTTAGATGATGCCATCAAAAATATTAACAAAACTTACAAAGGACATATTTGTGTTCTGGATACCAGTGAAAGGTCAGTGCTTTTACAGCAGATTGAGCAGAGGTTGGTACAAAACAGTACTAGCTACTACACAATAGCCATGTCATTGCACCTGGATGCACAGGTGGAAACACTGAAATCTCTAAAGTCAGAGATTGAAGAACTGAAGAAAACAATCAAATGTCTTGAAGATGAAAATAAGAATAAGATACAAGGTAAGTAAAGTTTAATAATCAGTATATATACTGAAAAAGGGCCTGAGGTACTAAGCCTTTTACACCAATTTCAAATGTAATTTATAAACATTCCTCTAACATGTTATGAATTCAACTAGAATATGAGCCTAAACACACAGTTTAGTCTGTGCATATGGAAAAATGTAGAACAGACTTCTCTCCCTCATGTATATGCATTTAAGGGAGCGCTGCACAAAACATAGGAGAAGATTTTGGAAGTGGTGGAGATTAGATATTCCTCTTGATTTACTAAGTTTGAGCTACTTGTGGCGGGCGGTTTTGTGTTTTTATTCCCCCTACCTTTAGTAGGGAACCTTTAGTAAATTTGATTTAAAGGAGCAATTTGTAAGATTTTTAGTCCAAAACACTTTAAAATTATCAACAGAATGTGAAGAAATAACAGTTTTGACAGTGTGTCAAAGACATCTGTGTTTTGTGTGGCAGAGATATCTACTGAAGTTAGCATGCTAACTGGCTAGCCCTGGCACATCCTGTCTCATAATTCCAATTTGTACCTAAAGTGGTGATGGTGAGTCATTGTAGCGTTGAGTCTGCCATCAGTCCAACATGAGAGGATGAAGAATTAGCACGCCCAGTCCTGGCAAGAAAACAAGTTTAGCAGCAAAGAAAAAAGTGATATAGAAGCTAAACAAGATACAACATTGGCATTGCATTTCACCACTGGAGAAAGCTCTTTGTAAGTAAAAGGATGAAGTTTGATGCAGAACACACAATGTTTCTTCAGACTGGGCAGCAAACGGGGAGAAGTGAAAAGGGAGAAGACGGGACTGTTTCGAGTATGAATTTGACGGGTCGCGTCATCTTATATATATATATATAGCTCAAAAATGTGTTGTTGAGAGCAGACATAGCCTAGACTGAAGCACAAGACTCTCACATGCCGAAATAATATTTTCCAATATGATACTAATTAAACTCTCAGGTTCAAAGTCAGAGTTCAAAACACATTTCAAAATTTTAACTGCCTATTAGGGCTTCAGACTAAAGCCTTTTGTTTTGAATGACCCTATATCTTAATTCTGTTTATTTTATGAAAACAAATGATTGAACATTAAATTTTATCACTTCCAAAACAAAAGTAACACTACCAAAACTCACTAGTGACTGTTTCGGAAGTGACAGTTTTAGCTAATTTTGAGCATAACTCAAAAACTCTAGCTAGTACAAAAGCAGGTGTACACACATAAAATCATAATATTTTTCATTAAAACACAAAAAAAAGTTTACATAATTGCAAAATTTGTTTTTGTATAGACATTAAGTGCACTGTTAACTGTTAGTTGAGTTTATTATTAGTTCATAGCTTATTTACTCATTAACTGTGTATTACCTACTACTTATTACACTTCCATTTAACTCATGTGTGTGTTTACTCATATAAAAAAGTAACATAGGAGTTTACTATGAGTACTTCCCATTAATTATCTGTTAATTAAACTACTGATTTTTTAATTACATACTACTTTGTGCTCCACCCTGTATAATGATTATTTTTACTAAAATTTACACTACAAACTCATTAAGACCTCATTAGTTACTGATATCTTAATTTCTGTCTACTTGTTTTCGTGTCCTCTCAAGTGAAAAATATATTTACATTATCAATTCAGGTTTATTCTAAATAATTCCAAACAGGAATCACTAATATTTCAGTTTTTTTACCTAAAACAAGTCCTTCACACTTGCACTTTTCATCCAATGACAGGTTCTTTAGGATCAAAGAGTGTTTTTTGTATTTTTTATTTTTATTTTATTTCCCATAGAATTGTTTCGAATCCCTTTTGGCACATCATAAGATAATCAGATAACAGTATTAGAGATCCTACCAACATGTGTTCATTCCATTACTCATAAGAGGAACTGTTAACATATATCTTTGAATAAGCAACCTGTGTTTTAGGCCTAACCAGTATGTCCACTTAATGAAGATGAGATGCTATTTCAAGGCAGAATCACACCTGTAATTTCTTAAATTAGTTGGAATATATCTCTCACACATGTTCAGCTTTAGGTATGCCCTCCACTGAGAAGGTCAACAACGTTTTTACTGTGATTCACAGTAAAATGTGCACAGGCAACCCTTAATTAATGAATTTGTTGTTTAATTATTATATTACTAGTGGAGATTATCACTTTACTTGGAGGGGCACTTAAAGTAGTAATTGATGGTAAAGTACTATGAAAAAAGGCACAATAATTGGTGAAAATGTAAAGACAGCTCTGAGGATAGTGAATCAGCTGAACATGTGGAGATGAAGGAAACAGTGCAGTGGAGGATAAATCAGTAGATTATTTAACAGATAATTAACATTACTAACATATAAGTATATAATCAGGCGCTAAGTAATAACTAATGCCCTTAATGTAAAGTGTTACCCATACTCTTCTTAAATGACTAAAGTCTGAATACTTGATTGTTTTTTAAATATATTTTTTTTCACTCTGGGACTGGAGTTGGAACTAATTCTGTAGAGTGGCTCATAAAAAAATATAATGTAATGCTATGACTCGTTCATGTTTTAATATATTTTTGTACCTTGAAGTGGAAGAACGCGGGGTGCAAAATGTATCATGATGCAGCAGCAATGTGTGCAGAGTCTGTGCTTCACAAACGATCTTCTCTATTGTATATTTTTTTGTACCTGTACTATCTTACATTTTGTAAATTACATTGTAATTTTTTTCCACAGATACAGGAGATCTAAGAGTTGTTCTTCTGGGGAAGACTGGAGTGGGGAAAAGTGCTTCAGGAAACACCATCCTGAAGAAAAAAGGTTTCAGAGAGTTACTTTCCTCTCAATCAGTCACCAGTGTGTGTCAGAAAGAATCAGCTGAAGTCGGACAGAGACGGATCTCTGTGATTGACACTCCAGGACTTTTTCACACTAATTTTCCTGATGAAGAGATCAGAAAGGAAATTGCTAAGTGCATCACCATGGCAGCTCCAGGTCCACACGTCTTTCTGCTGGTACTTACACTTGGATGTTTCACACAAGGGGAACAAGAACTAGTGAAGATGATGCAAAATCTGTTTGGTGATGAATTCAGAAAATACACCATGGTGCTGTTCACCAGAGGAGATGATCTGCAGGGAATGAGCATTGACGAATTTATTAAAACTTCTGACTACAGCTTACAAAACATGATTAACCAGTGTGGAAACAGATATCATGTGTTCAGTAACAGAAATACTGAAGACCACACTCAGGTCACTGCTCTACTGGAGAAGATCGACTCCATGGTGGCAGAGAATGGAGGGAGCTGCTACACTAATGAGATGTTCCAACAGGTAGAGGAAGCTCTGCAAGAAAAACAAGAGAGAATACTGATAAAAATGAAGGAGGAGCAACAAAAACAAGAGAGAGATAAGAAAATGAGAGAAGAGGAATTTAAAAAAAGAGAAGAGCAGATCAAAAGAGAGTTTGCAGAGAGAGAAAAATTAGAAAGAGAATTTTACAACAAAATAAGAGAAGAAGATGAAAAAAGGATGATGGAGTTGATAGCAGAGATAAAGGGAGAAAGAGAGGAGAACAGAAAACAGTGGGAGATACAACGAGAGGAAGATCAGCGACAGAGAGAACAGGAGGAGAAGGAAAGAAGAAAGAAAGTGGAAGAATGGGAAAAGAAACTAAGAGAGAAGAAAACTAAGTTTCAGAATGAAAAAGAGAAAATGAGGCAGAACCAAAATGATCATCTACAGAAATTACAGCAGGAGTATGAACAGAAGGCCGCAGAAGAGGAGAAGAGACGAAGTGAGTTAGAGGAGAAAATCAAACAGACAGAGGAAAGTAAAAAGCTACTCGAGCTGCAGTTAACTCAGCACGGAGAGTGGCAGATGGAACAGGAGAATAAGTGGAGAGAAAGATTGGTGTCTCTGGAAAAAGAGTGGCAGTTTCAGCATAAAAAGATGGAAGAACAGTATGAACATGAGAAAATAATGGAGGAGAAGGTTAAAGAGGCAAAAGCAGAGGGGCATAAAGAAGGGTACAGTGAAGGAGAGAAGATGGGACGTGAGGAAGGATTCAGTGAAGGAGAGAAGAAGGGACATGAGAAAGGATTCAGTGAAGGAGAGAAGAAGGGGTATGAGAAAGGATTCAGTGAAGGAGAGAAGATGGGACATGAGAAAGGATTCAGTGAAGGAGAGAAGAAAGGGCATGAGGAAGGATTCAGTGAAGGAGAGAAGAAGGGTTATGAGAAAGGATTCAGTGAAGGAGAAAAGAAAGGGCATGAGGAAGGATTCAGTGAAAGAAAGAAAAGGACCACACCTCGTACAGTTTTTAATAGAATCATTAACAGGTTCTCAAAGACAAAACAAAACAAAAAACCCCAATAACAATATGAAAAAACAAACAAACAACAGAGTAATAAGTTTTCATGTAATGGACACAAAATATGAAAGAACTAAGACGAAAAATGCAGAAAAAGTCTTTATGTTGAGAATATCAACATTTTGCTGTTTGGAGTTCTGCTAATTCTGTGAAATATAAGGGTAATGTGACTCTTCATAATTTGTCTAAGAATATACAAATACTCATGCATTCTTGATTATTCCATGCCTTTGTGAATATCTCCACATCACTGTTGTTGGTTTGGCCTTTTCTTAGACTTGGCCTTTTCTGAAGTCTTGGTTTCTCAGTTGCTGGAATGATTTTCCCCATGCCATTTGTTGTTATTCAATAAAGATATGAAGTCTGAAGAACTGTGCTGCGTTTCTAATTCAGTGCAATGCATTGCAACCTAATGCAATGCATTGTCGATAAAAAAGTGTTGTATTTCATCATATTCACATGTAGACTTATACTAATACTATATTTGACTCAAAGGTGGGAAGTTGGAGCTGGAAAATATGTAGTTTTCAGCCTGTGTGCGCTTTAGTTGGCCAACCAATGCTAGTGATATGAGTGATGATTTTAATGCCCATGAGGTATTTATCTTCTCAAAACACTAAACTTCATGGTCAGTGTTATAGAATTAAACAGCTATTGAGTCTGATGACTGTGTTGACAGACCTATAGCAAATCTCAAATTTAAAAATTGAGAAGTGTACGGTGTACATTTTGGGACATCCTCAAACCTCAGAATCAGTATACAGACATCAGACAACACAGCATTGTTCCTCAGAGAAAATAGCTTTGAATCAAGTGAAAAACTCCATCATGTCTCAGTTCTCATATAATTGGACAGACACAGACATCACAGCCTCCTGCAGCACAGCCACTGACAAAAGGTATCACAGAGGATTCATGAAGGGATTTTTGGGAGTATACTATTGTCCTGCGTTTTCACAGCATGCGAAAAAAAGAGAGAAAAATGATTTATTGCCTATCACAGGTTAGCCACAGTGCTGTACTCTGGCAAATGCTAACAGTGTTTCTTTTGTTGTCCAAATTACTACTTGCTCAAGTTAAAATTCACTTTCCACTGCGGTTACATAAGGCTGAAGTTGGGTTTCTATTTGCCAGCTTATTTTAGAATTTTCTGTTCCACCTTAAATGGTGCAAGGAAGAGTGCAGTAGTTACATTCTATGCAATATTTTTTCTCTAAAAAACTGACTATAAAAAATAGATGGATAAAGGTAGAATTTAGGTCGTTTTCTGCTTCTGCATAATAATAATAATAATAATAATAATAATAATCAGTCTGATGAGCCAAATATTATCATCACTAATTGAATAAAGTGTTGAATCGTACATTGAGACTGTGTTACCTAATAGGACGTTTATTAGGATTACCTATGTTCTTGGATCTTATAATAAGAAAAATGTGGGTAGCAATGTCGCTTCACAGCAAGAATGGCCTGAGAATGAATGGCCAAGAAAAATATATGCCCATTTTGAATTTGATGCTAACAACACGTTCCAAAAATTTGTGTTTCATCATCTCTTCTTTTACCAACACTCTGTAAGTGTTTGGGAACTGAGGAAACTGACTGCTGTAGTTTTGAAAGTGAAATGTTTTTCATTCTTTTTTGATATAGAATTTCAGCTGCTCAACAGTTCTGGGTCTTCTTTGTCATATTTTTCATTTTATAATGTGCCAAATGTTTTCAGTGGTGACAGGACTGGACCGCAGGCAGGCCAATTTAGCAAAAATTCAAATTTTGATTTGTCGGACCACAGGACACTTTTCTACTTCCCCTCAGTCCATTTTAAATGAGCTCAGGCCCAGAGAAGGTGGCAGCATTCCTGGATTCTGTTTATATGTGGCATTTAAGAGTTTTAATTAGCATTTGTGGATGCAGCGCAGAACTGTTTTAATAGACAGTGCTTTTCAGAAGTTTTTCTGAGCCCATACAGTGATTTCCACTACAGAATCATGTCTGTTTTCAATGCAGTGCTGTCTGAGGGCCCAAAGATCATGGCCAGCAAGTACTGTTTTTTGACCTTGATTTCTCCAGATTCTCTGAATCTTTTAATGACATTATGTACTGTAGATGATGAAAAGCAAAAGTTATTTGCTGTTTTATGTTGAGAAACATTATTCTTGAATTGTTGCACTGTTTGCCCACACAGTCTTTCACAGAGTTGTGAACCCCTCTTCATCTTTACTTCTGAAAGACTCTCTGGGATGCTCATTTTATACCCAATCATGTTATTGACCTATTGCCAATTAACCACCAAGTGTTTTTTTAGCATTACACAAATTTACCAGCCTTTTGTTACCCCAAGTTTTTTGGAACATGTTGCTGGCATCAAATTCAAAATGGGCATATATTTTTCAAAAAACAATAAAATTTCTCAGTTTCAACATTTGCTATGTTGTCTTTATATTTCTTTGAAAATGCTTCAGAGTTTAAATGATTTACGCATCAAACCATGTAAACCAAGGGCTGTTGCACAATGGACACCAAATTTGTAGAGTTTGCCCTGGTGCTCGCTCTACTTTTATCTCTACTTTTGTTTACGACTGTGTCTGGAGATCCTGTACGAAGCCCTATTGTTTACAGTAAGGATCAGCTGTTAGCGCTAGGCAACACAGCAGTGCTGCCAGATCAGAGACCCGATATCCCCTGTGGACTGAAGAGCAAGAGATGGGGGAGTCGTGCTGGAGCTGTGTGTCATGCCAGGAGATGTTATAGACGTGTTCTTCCCTCATTCGTCATGGGAAATGTAAGATCTCTTCCCAATAAGATGGATGAGCTGATGGCCCTGATCCGACATCAGAGGGAGTACCGTGAATGTCATGCTGTTCAATGAGTCATGGCTAACCATGCTAACTCTGTCACTTTCGACGGCTTCCAGCTCATACAGGCAGGCAGGCAGGACATCGGAGAGTGGTAAGAGGAAAGGAGGAGGGCTGGCAGTATTTGTGAAAGATAGAGGGTGTAACTCTGGGCACATCACTATTAAGGAGCAAATCTGTTGTAAGAACATTGAACTGTTAGCCGTTAGCATGAGACCGTTCTACCTACTGAGGGAATTCTCACATGTTATTGCAATAGCTGCTAATGCATGCCCATGCTAATGCTGATGCTGCCTGTGACAGCTGTGAGCAGACTGCAGACACTGCACCCACAGGCCCTTATTCTGATCTCTGGGGACTTTAACCATGTTTCTCCATCCTCTACTCGACAAACTTCACATAGTATGTAACCTGTCATACCAGAGACAATAAAATACTGGATCTGTGCATATAACTCTTCACCCCTTCCTCTCCTCGGAAGATCAGCTCATAACCTGGTTCATCTTCTGCCACTTGTAAACCACTTGTACACAGGGAGCAAGCTGTCACTCGCACAGTGAAGAAATGGTCTGGGGAGACTGAAGGGGCTTTGAAAGACTGTTTTGGCACAACTGTGTTAAGAACTGTGTGATCCTTAAGGGGAGGACATTGGCAGTCTCACACACTGTATAACTGACTACATAAACTTCTATGTGGAGAACACTGTATCCACCAAGATTGTTCTGTGCTTCTCCAACAACAAACCTTGGATCAACCCTGATATAAAGGTTCTTCTGAAGTAGAAAAAGAGGGCCTTAAGATCAGGAGACAAGGGGGAACTGAGAGTTGTGCAGAGGGAACTGAGAGGAAAAATCAGGGAGAGAAAAGCCAGCTAGAAGAAGATGGACGAACAGCTGCAGAAAAACAACATCAGTGGGGTCTGGAAAAACAATCTCTGGCCACAAGAAACCTGACCCTCAGGCAGTAGGGGACCAAAAGTGGGTGAACGATCTCAAACTGTTTTTCAAATAGATTTGATCACTCACTCACTGGTTTCCCTGCTGTGAGACCAACCCTACTACTTACACACTCCAGCACCCAGCCCCCCTGCTCCAATCTGTGCCTTAAAACAGCCCAGGTAAGAAAGGAGCTCAGAAAAGCAAGGAAAGCTGCAGGTCAGATGGCATCAGCACCAGACTCCTTAAGTCCTGCGCACATCAGCTGTGTGGAATAATTGAACACATGTTCAGCATGAGCCTGAAGCTCAGGAGGGTACCACAAGGCCAGTGGCACTGACATTGTACCTGATGAAGATGCTAGAGAGGCTAATCCTTGCCCATCTCCACCCTCTGGTGAGCTCATCTATGGACCCACTTCAGTTTGCCTATCAACCTGGCATTGGAATGGATGACACATCATCTACCTCCTACACAGAGCTCTTTCTCACCTGGAGAAGCCTGGAAGCACTGTGAGAATCATGTTCTTTGATTTCTCCAGTGCTTTTAAGACCATACAGCCTAGGCTTCTGAGGAACAAGCTGGAGAACACTGGGGTGAATCACCATCTATCAAATTGGATTTTGGACTACCTCACCAACCGACCACAGTATGTGAGGACATGGGACCGTGTGTCTGACATGGTGGTCAGTAGCACAGGGGCACCGCAGGGCACTGTTCCTCTTCAGCCTGTACATTGCAGACTTCATGTACAGCTCACCAAACTGCCATCTACTCCAAGATGGCACAGAGTACGGCTGCCATGTTGCGAGCTCCCTTCACTCCTGTTCATTTTTTGTTAATTTTGTTTTTATTTGTAACTACTTTTGCATTAAATGTTGCCAGCACCTTCATTTACAACAGACAAACACTTTTGGAAATCAGATCGACAATCACTCAGCAAAAACCGGACTTTGAGTTCCTGAATGCACATCCATTGTTTGGGAACCTCAAAGAGGCCCCATTCATCTGGGCCGACCAGCCGAGGAAACGCTGCAGATGCCAGAAAAGGGGCAGGAGAGCTGGCACTCTGGTCAGGCTGACACGGCATGCTACCCCCAACTCCTGAGCATGCTACTGGCAAACATACAGTCCTTGGACAACAAAATCAACCTCAATCTCAGGGCATGGATCTCTTTCCAGTGAGAGACACGGGACTGCTGTATAATCTGCCTC